TCGCCTGCCCGCCTGCCTCTCCCACGCTCTGCCAAACCCTGAGGCTTGCCGGGCGGCTCCTGGGCTGAGTCGGGAGAGGAGCAGTGCTGGCAGGACCTGGGCTCTCTGGGCCCTACTGGTGGCTGGAGCAATGGACACCATGGACGAGGAGGACCTGGTGGCTTATTTCTCCTTGCAGTACAAGCAGAACCTGCCGTCCTTGCTTAGGTGAGGAGGCTCCTCTGCCTGCTCCCCTCTCCTCCACCCTCTTCTCCTGTCTCCTCCATCCCACCTTCCCCCATTGTGGCAAACTCTCTTTCCTTATCTCCACCATGCCAGTCTCCTCTTGCATCTCCCTTGCCCAGCCCTGTTCCTCCCTGTAACATCCCCCTGCTCTGGCAGTGGGATCCCCACGGGGAGGGGTGGGGATGCTGCTCTGCCAGGCAGGATCCGAGACAATGTTGGGTTGCTCTGCCCCATCAACCCACCCAGAACGCACCCCCAGGTGCGGTGATGGGGCAGAGCAATCCAACACCTTGCCAAGGTACTGGACCCAGCGTGTAACCTCGAGGAAAATTTCTGTGGCAGGAAACTCAGGCTGACAGAGGACTCCCTGTCTCCATTTATTCATCTCCAGGAGAAGAGGAAACAAGCCCAGCTGAAGCAAAGTACTCTGGAGGAGAAGGAAGAGGTGAGAAAACAGGAGGATGCTGGGGCATGATTGGGAAGGCTTGTGGGTTTTGGAGGGCAGCAGTGGGCAGGCGACTGGGTCTGGGTGCAGGCAGCCATGTCGCGCTTGCTCTCGTGTATCACACCCTGCTCTGGTGCTGCCAGGACTTCAGGGAGAGGGTGAAAGCCATAACTCGCCAGTGGAGGGACTTCCACACCAAGGATGCTCAGCTGAAAACCTACATGAATAAATCTGAGAAGATTTTAAAGGTATGCCTGCCCCTGATCAGCTCAGCTGACATGACCCTGAGCCACATCACCACCCTCTCCCCTCCCTCCAACAGTCAGTCACGGGCCATCACGTCTGTCCAAGCCTCCCGTGAGCCTAGAGGTGTGAGGAACAAGACTGGGAGGTCATGAGGTTCTCTAACACAGATGTGGAAAGCTCTGGTAGGACTTGGGTAGGAGAAAGCTTGTCTTGTACTAATATGGTCTCCCAAGGGCCCCAAATATCCCCCAAGAAGGGTGTCAGCCTGTCCCTGCTGTTGATACCCATGTGTCAACACCCAGCTGTTCCTGTCTGCCAGGAACAGATGCCAGTAGGTCTCAAAATCAGAGTACTGTCCCAGATGCCTGTCTCCAAGACCAAAGGGTCAGTGTAGGAGGCACAGCCCTGTTAAACAGGGAGTTAAAACGCTCCCAGGGTGCTCCAGTACTGGTCTCTCCCCGTGATGGTATCTCCTCCCAGGGCTGTTGAGTGACCCAGCTCCATCCTCCCTTGACTTCCTTTCCCTTTGTGTCTGTGTGTGTGTACGTTGGTGGGGGAAAAATCACCAGGAAGATGATATGCCAGTCAAAGCTCTGGCAAAAGACAGCAAAAAGAGAGAGAGGAGGATGCAAAAGGAGACCGAGCTTTTGGAAGTTAAGAGAAAATTGGAAGCCCTGAGAAATGAGCACCAGAAACTCAGAGATGAAGTGCAGAAGTACCTCATCTTCAACAAATGCCTGGAGGATGTGGTGAAGATCTCACAGGTGAGTTTGGACAAGAGAGAGACAGATCATGGCAACGAGGAGGACCTTACACAGGTGTTAAACATAGAGGAGATAAGGCAAGTCCGACGAAATCTTAACACTTGGTCAAACCCAGAGACCTCAGAGGAGGTGGGAAGAGGTTCCCTGCAACCAAGGTGAGCCAAGGGGACCAGAGTTAGGGAAGGAGAGCCAGAAAAGGAGGTGAAGGCTTGAGAAAAAAAACCACAAAAATATTAGAAGTTGGAGAGAAAAAAAGAAAAAACCCTACAACATGGGACTAAGAGGAATGGGGACACCTCCGTGCCACTGTTTCAAGTCACCTTGATGATTTGGGAGGATTGAAAAGCTGCTCAGGAATGGGATCCCAGGCCATTGCCGAAAGAGCTGTGTCCTCTCCCAAGGATGCCTGGGCATCACTCCGTGCATGGTTCATACCCCTAAAGTCCCAGCTGTCCTCCTCCCATGTCTAGCTGTCTCAGCACTGGTGGTTGCAGTTATGCTTTGTGTTTTATCAGAGCACTGCTCACCTGGGGAAGAGGTGCAGTATCTCCCCTTGCTTCTGGCAGTGACAGCTCTGGGATCAGGGACAGTTCCCTGCATCACGCAGGGAACGTGGCAATGCTCACAAACTGACTGGGGCAGCAGCCTCGTCAAGAAGGGGAGATCTTTCAGCTGGGAGAGGTGTTGTCCCTGCTCAGGGCAGGGTGCCAAACAGCACAAGACTTGTCATTGTGATGTGGGGAGGGCAGGGGGTTACTAACACTGGGAGCTCTGTGCTGCAGTTTGAGGAGCTCCAGGAAGTCATTTGGTACTACAAGATGCTGATGAGGATGCACAAGGCCCAGCTGCAGTCACAACAGGAGTACAAGGAAATGTCTGAGCAAGCCAACATGCTCCTGGACCAGTACATGGCAGAGAAAGAAGCTGAGAACCTGCAGTACAAGGATGAGCTGATGCAGCTCCAACTACGTTTTGACCAGGCTCAAAAAGACATCCTCCTCCAGGTGAGGAGATGTGGGGAGGGCAGGGGGAGATCTCCAAAGCTTAGCTGTGTCAAGATTAGTTGATGGCTCATCCCTAACCCATGGGGTCATGGCAAGGCCCAGCAGAAGCCTTTGTGATTGGAGGAGATGCCTAATTTTGCCCCTCCAAGGAATTGTAGCATGAAGAATGACAAACCAGGTCTGGAGCAGGTTACATCAGGGATTAAAACAAGGCCCTTGCAAAGCCATTGTGATCTTGCACTTCTTCATTGAACTCGGAAGAGAGCAGCCACCCAGGCTTTGGGGAGGTCTGCCTTGGTACAAAACCCAATTACACTCCACCACGTGCCTGGTCCCAGGCCAGCCTGGTCAGACTCATTTCCAGTCACTGTTCCTGCATCTGTAATGGGGCTCCAGTGTGGCTTGTCTCATGCTCTCCACTGTTGATGGCTCAAGCCTCAGAATGAACTTGATTTCGCTGATTTTTATTATTTGTTTTCATCCTTTGCACAGCATTTGCTCACCATGGCTCACTCCTTCTCCTCCCTCCTCCCCAGTCCAAAAGTGACACCAGATTGGTGGTAAACTGGGCTATAACAAGGCATATCAATGTGTCACCAGTGCTGAGTGTGCAGAAATGCCCTCAGCTCCGCTGGCCTCTGCTCTTGCATCACTCTGAGGGGACTTTTCCAAATTCCCTTATTGGATACTTCAGGCTCCAGGAGTTGGGTCCCACCAGGCAAAGCTGGAAAGCCCCTGGTCTGGGGGGGTTGCAGTGGGACGTGCTTCTCCCAGGGTATCAGCTAACCCTGCTGTGGGGAGTGCAAATGGGGTCTGCAGGGACGATCCACCAGTGAGGACTGCAGGAGCTGGCAGAGAGGTGGGGATGTTCCCGGGGAAAGGAGCAGCTGTGGTGGTACCTGCATCAGTTTCCACCCAGCTGAACCACCCTCAGCACAGCCCTGGGCAAGGATGGTTTCTTCCTGGCAAAACAGACAAGTGTGGAAGTTAGGGCCTCCAGTGCTGAAGCAGTGTCTTTGCTGGGGCACGTCCCCATTGTGCATGTCTCTTCTCCTGCCAGGAGACTTGGTGGGACAGTATCCAGGACAAGATCGCCAAGAAAAGCAGGAAGCTGAGGATCATCAAGATGGTCAGCCTCAACATCTCCCAGAGTGTGAGAATGCAGCTGCAAGCAAACCTGAAAGCGCCGGTGGATGACAGCCACGAACAGCTGAACATGGTAGAGCCAAGCCAGACCCCTTCTCCCTGCCCAGAAAGAGAAGCAATGACTCTCAGCTGCCCAAATGCAGGGAAGAGCCCAGAGAAATCCACGTGCCCAAAAGACTCTCTCTCAAAAGACTCTCCCAAAAAGTCTCCCAAAAGACTCTCTCTTGGGCACAGGGAATAGGCAGAGGACACCAGGTCAACCTGTCTCATCCCAGGAGGCAGAGCAGGGTGTGGGTCCCTGTGCGGGCAGGAGGAGTGGGACCCAGGTGGGCTGGGGCAGGGCATGCAGATCAACCCATGGCCAAGGTTTGTTTTCACTCACCCTGGCCCTGAACTCAGACTCACCCACAAAAGCCCGTTGTGGCAGTGTAGATCCAGCAAGGCAAATGCCTTCTCCTCCTGCCCGGTTTTGTTGGTGAAATTTGCCCTCCAAAAGGGCCAAGAAGATCCCCTCTGCCCCCTGTTCCCATCCCTGCTCTGAGCTCTGCCACCTCTCTTCCCCACCTTAGATTCAGCAGTTTATCGAAGACTTCAGAGACCTCTTTCTGGAGGCGAAGGAGGACATGCAGAACCACCACCAAGCAGCTATAAGGAACATGCCAACATGACCTGCTCTGCCAGCAAAGGCTCAGCAAGATGGGAAAAAAAACCCAGACGTATGTTAGCCTCCACCACAATTTACAGCAGTAAAATTTCTTACCTTTCTGGCTCTTCTGTCCTGCACAGTTCCTGACACATTTTATGCTATTAAAAATAACCAAATATTTTAAAGTGTCTCTTTATTTCCTGGGAGGATTGGAAACATCAGAGCAGCTCCATCCCACAGCTTCGCCCCGGATGCCATCGGGGTGTTTTCAGAGATTTTCTACCACCACACTCTACAGACATAGATTTCTCTGCACAGACATGTGCTGTGTGTTAAAACCCGGCTTACCCCTCAAGATGTTAGGGAAAGTGTTGGAGAATGAATACAGATGAAGGAGGAAGCAGCCAAAGCTATTGCACCGAGCATTTAGCTGTTCGTTGTGAGGGCTAAAACGATGAATACAGAGCAAGAGACTAAAAATGGCTCTGGAAACATGCTGTGGAGTTCAGGCCAGGCTCAGAGTCTTCTGGGCAGGACCTTTTAATGGACCAAGGACCCAATGACACAGATTTTGAGGCCAGAGACCACTACTCCTCTCCTTAGCCAGCACATTCAGCTACTGTCCTCTGGAAAAGTCTGAGTCCAGTTGGTCCACGTTTACAATGCGTGAGGGTTGCTCAGGCACCTGATCCCTTCCTTCAGGAGTGAGGAAGGCACATATTAACCCTCTCCTTTCCCCAAATCTATGCTTTCCTGAGCAACAACTAAAACAGATGCACTCCAGAGCTGGTGCTAGCTGCTTGTTTGGAAAGCAGAGGAAGGATGGGTTTGGGGCAGGAGCACTTGGTGCAGAGCTTGAACAGAGGATGCTCCCTGTGTCTTTGCTGTTGCTATCTCTGCCAGCTTGAATTCATAGGAATAAATTCAATCAGAAACACAGCACCTTAGGTCAAGTCTCAGCAAGGAAACTCATCCAGGAAACCCAATTTCCTTCAAGCCTCTGAGCTCAGACCCTTGTTGGGCCTTTGAAGCTTAGCAAGTTACCATCCATCAGCAGAAAATGACCCTGTGCAGTGTCCTCAGTGTGAGGCCAGTGCAGAAGAAAACACAAGAGTGAAAGCCTCCATTGCGGAGGCAAAGGCAGTAATTGCTTCTCAGTTGCTATATGTGGAAGAAGAGCTCATTTCTTTTTGAAGCCTTGATACGTAAATGCAGTGTAGGCCACAACGTGCCCTAAGTTCTTCTGAATAGATCCCCAGAGCAGTGGGAGGTGAGTGGCAGTTTGCATTTCAGCTGGCAAGGAAAAGCTGTTACAACTTTATGCAGCCACCATGCGCCTACATGTCAATGATTATGTTATGTTCATTCTGTAAAGCAGGGATAATTGCTACCAGGGAGGGACAGGAGTGGGCTGCTTCTCAAGGGAAGGAGCTCAGGTGACAGCAAAGCAGACAGGAGGATATCCTCACTGGCAAGATGCAGCACCACGGTAGGCAATCGAGAGCAGAGAACTTCATGTCTCTGTCTGATGATTCACACACTAATCTGAGGTCCAAGGGGAAGCCAGAAAGTCAAGTCAAGAAGGCAAAGTGAGAATCAGCCAGGTGCCAGGCTGGTCCAGCCTTACCTGCAAGGCAAGGACCAAGGGCAAGGATCTAAGCATAAATGCAGCTCCCGAGCAAAGCAGGGGAAGTTCCACTGAAGGCTCCACATAGCTCCTCCTCATGCCTTATCTGTTTTTCCAGCAGCCTGATCCCAGATTTCATGGCTTCCCAGATCAGGGCTGCCCGTGAGCACAGGAAACCAGAGCCCTGGCTGGTGGGGAAGGTGTGACAGCACCCATGGGTGCACTGAGAGCCATGGCATTACCACCTCCTTGCAGTGGGGTGGGACCCTCACCGTGCTGAGATTTGCCAAGAGCCGTATTACATCTTCTGGCAGGAGCTCAGATTCATGCCCTGTTGAAGCCAGTACTGTGGTCTGGGTTCTGCTCTGCTTGGTGTACACAGTCCTTGTCCCAAGGACCACAGGGTGTGAGGAAGAAAGATGCTCAGTCTGGGAGCAGAAGCAATGTAGGGGAGCCCAGCATCACCCAGGGGGCCAATGACAGAGTAGGGAAGAGGTTGGTTTCTTATCCATCAGCCATCCAGAAGGAGGGGTATTTTGTTGCCACATCAAAAGAGTGGACCGTGGCTTTGGGATGGGAGTTGAGGGTTGTGGGGCAGATGCTCAGGGGGATAAGAGGGATGAAGAGGTGAGGTAGGTGTAAATGGGAGGCTTTCCCTCGTCTTTGGCAGAGATCCTGTGTGGGGGCTGTGTGTCTGCAGTGATTTGTTGCATGGGAAGGACTTCCCACAAAGCCCCAAAGCCCTTCCTGCTGCCATGCCTGGGCCCCCTTCCTCAGCAAGCAGACACCTTCAGCCTCTCTGCCATGCCTGGGACCATGGAGGTGGCCTTGGGAGGCAGGTGGTGCAGAGCACTTCAGACTCTGAATACTGAAAACCAGCTTCCCAATGGGAATCAAATATATTTCTTTTTGTTAGCATGGAGTGATCCAGCGCTCAGTCTTGAGACTGGGACTCACGAGGTGCATGTCACCTCCTCTGAGATAGCTGCTCTCTGTGCCAGGGCTGGATTTGAGAGCCTTCATCCCACAGTCAGCAGCATCCTCAGATGATAGCCTTCCTTGCTCTTCTGTGAGACCAAATACACAGCAGCAGAAGAAAAAAACCAAGCAGGGAAGAGCGAACCTTGCTGAGGCACTCAGGGGTCCCAGAGGCT